TGTCGCATGAAAGCATCATTTATTGTATCATTTATCGCACTAATAGATCAAATTTTCAATATATGACAGGACCACTACGGCACCATCTCCGCTGAATCTCCTGTCCACGTGGATTACATATTTCGTCAAACTTTGCAAGAAACGTCTGACCAAAAAGAAGGAACGACCCTCTTTGATGCACTTGATGGGTGGCACTCGTATGTCTCCTCGCACCAGAATGGGAGCCAAATGGCTGTCCAAGATAAAGAAGAACACGCAAGTGGGACACACGAATAGCTTCGCCTTATCAGTGGCTCACCTGAGTCCTCTCGGAAGTCAGTTGTCCTTCCGTAACGTTGTCAAAATCGATAATGTCGTCGACTGGGAAGTTGTCAGGCGCAAATATAGAGACCTTTACGGCGAGAAGATCGAGGAGAAGCCGGTCGAAGAGAGCAAGGAGTCGACAGAGAATCCATTGGCAGTTTTGGAAGGCTCGTCTGGTGCTGCCGAGAAATCGAGGCTTGGACTTGGAGCTTGAACGAGGAGGAAAAAAAATGTTGAAGACACTATCGACAATACATTACATAACTCTCACAAAAAAGAGAGAAAGAGAGAAATAAAAAAAAGAGAGAGATCAAAGCTCTTCCCGTATTTTCGCAGATTCGCTGCATTAATGCGCTCGATTGCATTTATTTGTACATACATGATCGCCGCGAGACGTATACAGAGGACCTTGTCAGTATTTTCGAAATAAATGTCTAAGCTGGACTTTGTATCGCCTATACAGTTATTTTTGTTAGCTAGCAAACCTGTGCTCCTCGTGATCCATAGTCTAATCGATTACCTATAACACGTTTTAGAGACTACCATGGGGAATACCCGTGTGCATAGGGATCGTTCCACGTCACGTTTGACGGTTAGTTCATCAACATTATTTTTAATTATCAAATTCTCTTTTCACCTAGAATGTTTTATTGATTATATATATGTACGACATATATCTACATTATATCTATAGAACGCAATTGCGTAACGGCTCTGTTGCAACGATGCACGCACCGATCATTATGCCTGCATCATGTTGCTCATATAATATTTTCGTGTAATATATCGGCGCGCTCGATACACATATTTGTAGGATGTGTATCTATGTAATATCGCAATATTAGAATTGCCTTCGAAGCTCACATCATCATTTATATACACAAATTTAATGTGTAGCATGTACATTCGTTGATATATCAATCGAAATTAAACGCGTCTACAGGATTCACTTCTCGATCATCCGCACGTTATAAAGTTCGGCTGGCATGCAATATAAATGTACACTCTGTAAAAAAAAAGCTAAAACTAAAGCGAATTTGACAAAAGAGGATTTTTCTCTGTATAACGAATGCTTAATTTTTTAAAGTAAAATATTAAATTTTTTTTTAGTTTAAAAATTTTGAATTAACGTCTGTCTCTGTCCGTTGAATACAGTCAATACAGACCTATAACATTGCATCAAGTTATAATTTCTTATGCAATAATGTAATTTGTTATGTAAATTATATTACATTTACATTATTGAATAGAAAATTATATTTATGTAGTATATGTATATAATATAGCTGTTAAATTGTATTCTACGGATTTTTATTTGCAACGTGCAAATATCGTATAGACAATTTTTTAATTAAATGTAAAATTAAGAAATAATCTTATATATTGTATGGAATTAACTTTTTTTAATTTTCAGTTATTATGCCATAACTATAAAATACGTAAATACTTTTAGAAGATAAAAATTTAACGATTCTAAAACTTATTCTTGATTTCGTAGATTAGGAATTCATAATTTCACAGAGAATAGATTTTCATCAATTCCCTTTGATTTTTATATTTTTTATAGAGTGCATAAAGCGAATCAAAATGCAATTCTCACATTGCAAACCACATTCATCGCATCCATTTTGCATTTGTAAATGCGTTTAGAAAATTTTTCACCGATATATCAAATATGGACGTCTCTTTACAATTTATTATTCATGTTCGCTCATCGAAATCTTTTGAAATGCGCTGCTCATTCCATCGCATGTTTTAGGTTTTACAAAGCTCGTTGACTTTTCTTCTGATTGATTACCAATTTTTGAACAAAGATTAGGATAGTTTTGATCATCGTCAGCATGAACTTCTACAATTCTTAATAGTCCAAGAATTGTACATATGATTTTTTTTT